CTCCCCCCTATGTGCTTGCAGTCTATTTAACTCATTGTGGGCGCACGTTCTGATTAATTAACAACACCCGATGACGCGGAGCTTTTGGATATTTAAAAAAGAGAAGCGTGCAGAATTTTCAATTCTGCTTCTTGCCAGTTTTGGTAAAAGTTTTACGGCGCTCGCAACAGCATAAGATCATACGAACACATACAACGTGTTAAGTGTGGCAGGAATTCACTTTGAATTTTTTTCCTGGCGGCGGCCGAAGTCTACTCTTATCAAATTTGTAAAAAAAGGATCTTTAAAGTGGTCAACTTGCACACGGAACTTCCGTGATTTTTCACTTTTATCCAGGAATGCTAGGTGTCAGATCATACCCTACCCTAAGACAAGAGGTGTAGCTGAAAGACAGCAGTAAGAAGGAGCCAAAGAGCGGCGACTTAGAAAGGCTGCAGAAAGAGTCAGGAACCCAGAGGAGGGGCAAAAGGGGGGAAGAGGTGGGTGCAGAGAGTGCAAACGAAAGCAGACGGCTGAACGTGATTAGAGACTAGAAGGATGGAAAAGGAGAACATTTTAGAGAAGAAAATTTTCCACGGCTCTCATGTCAGGTTTCGAACCCGGGACCCATTGAATGAGAGGCGAACACCGTAACCTCTAGACCACGAGAGCCCCCATTTTTGCTTCCTTTGTCTGAAATTTTAAAGGTAAGTCAACTACATGCATACTATGAAATATCCAATTTCGTGTTTCTGATTTGTGAGGCAGTGTGGTGAAATCAGGCGATCGTAAAAAAAAAGGTTAAACCGAACATACTGGCATTTTCCCATCAGTTAGGAAATTTTTATCGAATTGTTGTTGTTGTTGTTAGTTGTTTTGTTTTGTTTTTGTTCAACACCTATTATTTCCTTTAAAAATACATTTATGTGTAGATTTTACTGAAAAACGTTGATCCAAAGCATAAAACATATATGCGCTCATAATACCTTATGCAGTTGCAAACGCGTAAAACCCTCTACTATATACTATATATAAAGCATATACATTTTCAGTTTCCAAAGACTCTAAAGCTGTGAAAAGGTTAGGCTATTGGACTCGCAACCGTAAGGTCGTGGGTTCGAATCCCGTCAGGGGCCCGACGTTGTGTCCTTGGGAAAGGCACTTTACACGAATTTTCCTCACTTCACCCAGGTGGGAATGGGTACCCGGCTATAGACAGCGA